TTTTGAGCATTTCTTGGCTTAATTTTATTTTTGTCATGCTGCAGTGTGAAGTTCCTGTAAGATAATATTTGCCTCAAAGAAATTTGACAATCTGTACCTTCAACAAATTCAATACTAGTGTATCCCAAGCCTAGTCTTCTGTGAGAACTATAAATGTATGCACTGCTTCCAAACAGCAGATTCAAACTTAGTCCAGCTATCAGATTATCCCCTACTCTTAATAGATCTCTGTGGGTTTGTTTGTTTGTTTGTTTTTTATTTGCTCTTGTGGTCTCAAAGGTTTTATACATATTTCAAAGATTGGCAAGTAGGCATTACTTGAATATTTTAAGGATTATCTTTGATTTGATGTATATTTAAGAAATGCATTTCTGCTCTTGCTTGTTACCAGACTCCAACGTACTGCTTGCCATTAAGTCTCATGTTGTACCTGTTTAAAAGGTTGGTCAGGGTTTGCAAAATGGAGCAGCGAAAGCACAATGAGCATATGGGGTCATATAATGGGGTGTTTATGTTTCACTAACAAAAGTTTTGGGGGACTTGGCAAGGACTGCCTAAAGTTGGTACGTGAGTATGGGCAGATGGCTGATTACAGGAACCACCTGAGAGTCAACCTCTGCTGTAGACGAAACAGGATTGCCTCTAAAAATCTGCAAATAAGCTCTTCAGTTTCTAGAATTAATGTTTGGAGAGAACTTACTCCCAAATTGTGTAAATGTAGTTAAACATTCTTCTCAATATGTATAAAAATACTTATTCTGTGTCGTAGCAATATGTAGAGTTAAATTCTGTTTTATAAGGAGAATTTAACTACACATCAGAATCATCTTTATTTGTGCAAACAAACAAGGAATTTGACTCCAGTAGGTATAGCCAATAAATATGAGAAGATTAAAAAAAAAAGAAAAATACAAGTTACAGAAAATCTTAAACTATGCAAAATATAACTAATTATAAATAGGATGAACATAGTACCACCTGAATGAAACTGGATATTAAAGTAAAATTTAACTCCACGTATTTACACGTGTCTTAGTAAAGGATGGACGCTGATTTCCTGGTTCGTTTCCTTGACCATTGCAACTGGGGAAAGGGAAACTTGTATTTACTTTCTTTTTTCGTAGAATTTCAAGGCAACGTTTTCTCCAGCATAGTTTATGCAAATTACCAATCGCTCTGTCCTGATTGGCTGGGACCAAGAGCGTTTCCCGTCTTACATTGGATACTGCGGTCTTGGCCACGTCCCCAAGCCACGTCGCGCTTGACTCGCCATTTTCCCATCTTCTGGACCCAGAAACCGTTTATTCTAACATCACAGTGTCATTCAGCGCTGTCGGATAGGAAAAAAAACCGTTGCCGGAGACAGGCAGAGTTCTTCAGAGAATCTAGAATCGCCCTGCTACTTGCCGCGTTCCTGCAAACATGAATATTTTCAGGCTAACCGGCGACCTCTCCCACTTAGCAGCTATCATCATCCTGCTGCTAAAAATATGGAAAACCAGGTCTTGTGCCGGTGAGTAGCCAAAGTCTTTAACTTAAGAGTTTAAGCGAACCTTAGTAGGCACAGCATGTGTCCTCTCGTGTAATTAGCAGTTTGAGGAGAAGTGAAAGCTGTCCACCGTGGAACTTATCTGTAGTTAGTTGGAACTCATTAGCCAGCTTTTGGCTAATGTTAGCTAGCTGGCTAGTAGTCCTGTCCATTTCAAGCGGTATGTTTTGTCATCAAGTAATGACAACCACTCCCGCGGCTGTCACTGTGCCTTTTAAGAATAGGACCCTGAAACTTGTTATGTGGTTCTGTCATCAGTTGCTTGTCTTGACAGTCCATTTGGCCCCAAACGAGCGTTAGATGGGGGACCTGAGGGCCACAGTACTTGATAGTTTGGCTTCGTCATTTCACCTGATTGACCCTAAGCAAGTTCCACGTTTCAGCCTTACTGTTCCTGTGACTTGCTTTACTACAGCCTGGTATGACCTCTCTGACGTGGCAGCATCGAGTGCTCCCGAGTCTGCAAAGTCGGTGACTGGGTGAATGTTTTTGCTTGCAAGTCCAGCAGGTCTTTGAGGGAAAAGTAAATTCCTGCATTCTGTGAAACTTTGTTTTTCCTGTTATTGCTGTGGCCAAAGGTTGGGTTGCTATCACTGCAAGGGAGCCATACCTAGATTAAACCACACAATGGTGTGTGAGAGTGTAAAGGGGAACAAAACGAATAATTGACTTTGAAGTGCTAACAAGGTTTGGATCACCTGGTGTCCTTAGAGGACTGTTGAATTCATTAATGGGTTACAAACAGTGTAATTTGATTACAAGTTGAGCAAGCAAGTAAAGCAGTTGCATAATAGCCTGTTTTTTAATGTAGAGAAGTGCAAGTAAGCCATTGCATCTGTTAATTAATTGACATTTATTAACAGATCATGAACAGCAAGCAATGCATTTTTTAAAGTGCACACTCTAACATAAAGTCTTATTGCATGTGTCTTGATGCATGCTCAATCATCCAGGTAAAGAAATCCCAAAAAATCGATTATGTTCATGTGGTGCTAGTTTTGGTCAATATGCAAATGTAGTGTTTGTAAGGTTAGGGAAACCTGCAGTCAGCTGAGACTGAAGAAGTCACTTGGATGAGTGACAAAACGTTTCTACCACTGAAAACACTACGTTTAGATGAACAGAATCAACTTTTTGGTATTGCATGTTTTTCAGTTCAAGTTGAATCTATAATTCACACGAGTTGTCTGTGTGTAGACCAGATTGGACATTTGGTGGACTAGTTTTGCCCCCCAGACATCTCTGCCTTAGGCTTATTTGTTCCTGCAAATCAAAGTACTTCTGAGTGATTGCCTTTATCCCTTTACATCCTAATGGGAGTGGCTGCTTTAACAAAACTTAAAGAAGCAGAAATAAATTGAAATGACTCACAAACAGTGGACCAGTAAAGGTGATAAAACTTTCAAATGAAACTTGATAAAGGAGCCATAATTGAATACATGAATATCAGGAAGTACAAAACCTCAGATAACTACACAAGTTTTTAGTTTAGTTTTAAACAATTATGTTGTTGGAGCACACTTAATGGGAGTAGCAGAACATACAACGTTAGATTGTTCCAAGCAGCTTCACAATTTGTGTTTCCATGGGGGAATACCCTGGTGGCTTTTTCCAGAGCTCTGATTATGTACAACTTCAAAAACAAGCATTTAAAGTTTAAAATCAACTCACTGGAAGATTTCTGTTATTAGTGAGTAATAGTAGTGCAGCATGAATGAGGTGAAAAACTCTTGGCCTTTATAGTATCAGATGATTTTTTTTTTTTTTAAAAAACAGGTTTTGTCACATGACAACATACCAGATACTTGTTCCAATTATATAATATCCTCTGCTCCTATACTAACCATATAATAGGGAGTAAAATGTTATAATGTTAAGTTTAAAATACTTTGTGCTGTCTTTCACAGGTATTTCGGGAAAGAGTCAGATCTTGTTTGCCTTGGTGTTCACCACTCGATACCTTGACCTGCTCACATCGTTCATCTCTCTCTACAACACCACCATGAAGGTAAGATCCTGCCCCCTTCTCATCATCACATCCTGCAGCATTTTCCATCCAAGCAATGAACACAGTAAGCGGTACACCAGGCCCAACATGTCAGTGTTTGCTAAACGATACAGCTGCCAAATAATTTGTGGTAGGCTTGTACGAGGTGTCCATGCTGCACAACTGCAAGTACCTCAGGCCATTAGGTCACGAGAGTCTTAATGCTTTTCCATTTATATTTCAGATCATCTACATCGGATGTTCATACGCCACTGTGTACCTGATCTACATGAAGTTCAAGGCAACTTATGATGGAAACCATGACACGTTCAGAGTGGAGTTCCTGGTCGTCCCTGTTGGTGGCCTGGCTTTCCTGGTTAACCATGACTTCTCTCCTCTGGAGGTCAGACATTCAAACACACAGCCAGGGCTGCTCTATGATAAAATAAAATTCATGACTATATTGTTAAATCTTGAAATGACTGTTATTAGACACAACTACTCAAAGACTCCAAAAAAGAATAGATAATGTAAAAAAAGAAGCGAGGAGAAATTGGTATGCAAGTTATGGAAGACAAAAGAGGGCTGTCATCTAGATTGGTTCCTACTATGACAGGCTCTCTGCAGCACCTATAAGCCAACTATCTAAGAGCAGTCGATCTTTCATGCGGCTTCTGTGTTGTCATAGTGCCATAGATGGTAGTGTCGAACTATGAACAGAGCAGCAGGTATGGGAATCCTCATGTGCTGAACAGCAACATGGTGCTTCAAGTAGAGCAGCAGGGTGATATGTCCAAAAATATTTATCACGATATACATTTGAAAATTTGCAATAACGATATAACTGACACTAGACAAGATACTTTACAACTCCACAACTTTATTAGTGCAAAAAAAACCATCAATGTATTTTCACTTAAACAAGCAGCTGTTTAATGTGAATTAAAGTTATATAAAAATTTAACAGTACAAATGCAAATTCCTTGCTGACAGTTTAACCAAAAGGCATTTCCAGTGGAAATTGGCCGACATATCCTCAGCATAACCATGTATAATATCCACAAAACTTAAAAAGAGGTTATACACACACAATACGGTAATATTATGTTGAAGCACAGTACGTATCACTCCGCGAGGCTCCTGCCTACGATAGCCGTAATGCTCCGACAATCCATCAAGCGGTGCGGCTTCGTAGCTCAGCAAAGTCGTACTAAAACATTTGACAGGTTTTGAAGCGCCGTTTACATAAAATCGTTTCGAGGTCAGTAAACACAACCAGAATTCATACATAAGGCACACACATAAGGGGCTCTGTCGACTTTCAGAAAAATCAAAGGATTGATTTTAAGTGTGCCGTATTTTCCAAAGAACACAGTAATAACGACGGCCCGCTAGCATGCGCTACCAAAAATAGTGCTTTGCTTTGTATCTGACGGACGAAAGCTAAACCAGTTCCACACCACTGAAGCTGCAGCATTTTTACAAACCAGTTCTGGTTCATCCGTTTCATTCAACGATTTGCTTTCGCCGCAATGCTTTTTCCGACGTGTGCGTATGAAAACAAAGGCACTGCGCATGCGCGTTTTACCCATATTCTATCGCGATATTTCATTTTTCTATCGTTGCCCAAAATTATACCGGTATTACCGTGAACGGTATGATATGGCCCAGCTTCAAGTTTCCATCATTGTGGTGGAGCTCTTTTTAAAACATCTCAAAGGCAGCTGTTGGGTGCTGTTTATGGCTTGGAAGGTTTCTTGGCTTTAATTCAGCGTTCAGAGTTAATGACATATTTCATAACTGGAAACAAATGTGCACTTTTCTACCTGATGTGGGTCGCTGTATGCTGCATTACCATCATTCACTATGCTACGTTTTTTGCATCTTATACCACGGACATGGAGGAAACGGAGTATGCCTCCTTCAAAGCCTAGATCACGTGCGTTATCCGTGACTGACAAGTAGCCCAACTTAGGTCCAAACAAAGTTGTTTTCAAAATCTTTGGGAGAGAAAATCATAACTGAAACCAAAGTCTGAGGAATCACCCAGCACTTCATTCTATAGAGGGAACAGGATGCACATACATGTTAAACTCAGTCATGTGAGACAGCTGCCATGCAGCATGCATGCACCAGTGCAGACTTACTATGAAAAAAGGGTTATGTTTCAGTTTGATTTCTTTTACCGTGCCTCTGGCTGGTTTGTTTACATGTGCATGCTTTCTTTTTTCATGTATTTGCAACACACTGACTTGCAGAGTGTGTTTGTGAGCTTGATTTTCAGTCCAGGAAAATCACTTTAACATTCGCCCAAGTACTCACAGTTATACCTGCCATTCAACACTGGCAAACATGATAAAATCTCTGTATGTAAATTTAAAACACACATCACTGCTGACACTCTGCCATCCATTTCCTCCACCTCAGATCCTGTGGACATTTTCTATCTACTTGGAGTCAGTGGCCATCCTACCTCAGCTCTTCATGATCAGCAAGACGGGAGAAGCTGAGACCATCACCACCCACTACCTGTTCTTCCTGGGTCTGTACAGAGCTCTCTACCTCATCAACTGGATATGGAGGTTCTACTTTGAGGGGTTCTTTGATATGATTGCCATCGTTGCTGGAGTGGTGCAGACCATCCTCTACTGCGACTTCTTCTATTTGTATGTAACAAAAGGTGAGTGCTGCTGCATTTTTCATTTCATTTTTTAAATTAAATATATATTTGTTCAAACCAAAGTTGAAAATCTCTTTAATGGTAGCAGTGCAGATATGTTGTAACTTGTTTCAAGGACAAAGCAAACATGAGCACAAGATTAGATTCTCCAATCTGAACATTTTGTTTTTACTGTGTGTAGTGTTTTGTTTTTTTCTTTGGGTTTTTTTTTTTTTCATCATTTGCAATCCTAAACTTTTAAGGTTTGTCCATAAATTGATGTCATTGAGTTCATAACTGTCTTGTCAGTGCGCCCCAGGGCAGCTGTGGCTACAATGTAGCTTGCCGTCGCCAGTGTGTGAATGTGTGTGTGAATGGGTGGATGACTGGTTGTGTAAAGCACTTTGGGGTCCTTAGGGACTAGAAAAGCGCTATATAAATGCAGGCCATTTACCATTTGTTTACAAAAGAGTATCACGAAGAGATGCATTGACTTATCAACTACTGCATCACTATAATGAAAAATTCAGAAACGCCCTCGATGCTTCATCATTTATTGAGTTTTTAATATGAGTTTAAGACGACTTCCTTTTTCTTTTCTCACTGGTGACATCACAAACAACACAACCAATGCAGTGGCCATAAACCAGGCTTTACACTCATGTTTCAGAGCACACTGGGCAGTACATATAGTCACTCCACCATCTTGTGGTAGAAACTGGTGTTCATCAAAATCATAGGTCGACTTCAGCTGATGTCTCTTAAACACAGTGCGTAGACATTTGGATATAAATAGCAGTGGCTTCTTCACATCCCTTTGATTGCTTTAAATAATTCAGGTATAATAAGTTCCCTTTAACTACAATGATGTTAAAACAAATGTTGATGAAATAAAGTTTTCATATAAGTTTTGGTGTTCAAGTCTCAGGCAGCAAAAACACTAAACTGAAAAAAAATCAATCCATCAGTGTGTCTTCTTGTGATGAATGCTCCCTGTCTAATATGTTTAACATAAATCTGTCCTGTCTGGTTTCAGTACTGAAAGGAAAGAAGCTGAGTCTGCCAGCCTAAGTGCCAAAGAAGAGTGTTTTGGCAGACTCAAATCGGGCAATTGGAGGGGAGGAGGAGGGGCAGCAGACACCTCTGACAGCCCCATTCCCCCAATATCAGCAGTCACTTCCTCCTCTTCCCCTCCCACCAGTGTAAGATGCCTGAGACAGAGAGCTAGCAGGAGCCACTGGCTGATCCAGAATCAGTGGAATTGGAACACCTTCAGCAGCTGCTCCTTGGCCTGCAGATTTCTGTTTGATGCATCTTGCCTTAACTTTTTTTATTACTCTGTATAACGGAAGGGAAAAAAAGCGAGAAATGTTTTCTACATAAAATGTGTGATCTGGAGATTCGACACATCGATGGAGCTCGGGAGATAAAATTGCCTGTGATTTGGCACTGTATGATATAGAAGCAGACTTCTTGTGGTGGGATATTATTGAGCATTTTTAATAGTATTTGCAATCAAAATAAAATCTCTTTGTTCTTGTTTTTGTTTTTTTCTAAATCTGACTGAGGAGGCTTGTATTGAATCCCATAACTTTGATTCTGCCGTTCTGTTTTTGGCCAGTATGCATTCC